TATATATAACTTCAGGGCTTGATTATTTCTTTTTTAAGTTCACAAGTTTAACATGCACCCTAACGGTTTCGTCCTGATAGATGCAATGACAGCAAACAGAAATCTGTGTTTGTGCATGCGCCGTCACATGCATCATAGCAAATTATGTACACATATTAACAAGAAAAACTGCACTGATACCAAAAGTGACGCTCCCTAGTTTCTGACAAGAGACGAGTTGTTCAACTGTTCAGAGTACAGCATCGTTAAAGCTTTTAACTGCAGCAAGCAACTACTCCAAACGCCTGGGCTTGAATGTCTCAGATTCATTCAGAGCACAGGCGTTTGGAGGTTTTGAGGGATGACAAGTCGTCTGAGGTGTAAATCTCAATTACTCAAAGTATCTCAGTAAGAAATCTCAGGAAAAGATCTAGATCAGCATCCAAACCTAAGGATCTTCCTTCCTATGTTTTTTTATTGCATACTTCTTCCTTAGTCCACCTTGATATTATTTAATTGGTTCTTTTGACAACAACATTGTAGAAATATATATAATTTTGCATGCAAATATAGGCCATGTTGCAAACAGATGTGCATTCAGAATTTTGATTAGTGATCAATCGAAACCCTTTATAGACAAATGCAAACTTTACATCTGATGAAGCACAATAAATAAGAACTTTTACAACGCTCGATGTAAACTCCTTTCTAAAAGCTAGAGCTGCTTATGGTTTACTCCATTAAATCTGCTTTGCTCTGTGTAGTATTCTCCAAAATAAATGCCTGAACTGTTTAAATAAATTAAAAAAGAAAACCCTGGGTGATAATAAACCATGATGTTGTTCACTATACAATCAAACGTTTACCAAAACACTACACAGCTTAGAGCATTTCTTAGAAGATACAGGAATCTATTATGCAACATGCGTTTACCTGCATAAGGTACTGAGACACTACCACCTCAGGGATCTCTGGGAATCGCTGCTTGAGGTCCTGCAGCATGTGGTAGTCGATCTGAGAGCCTCCCTGCGCCATCCTTTGAGCCAACATAGAGTGTCAAGCGCCCAAAGCTGCAAATGCTCAAATAACCAACCTCGGCTCATCCCTTAAGAAATGCAGACAAAAGGCAAAAGTAACAATTACATCTGGCAAATCACAGAAAAGTCTGCAGTGTGTTTGCTAGGACTGGGTTGGCCTGCAACATTTCTGTAACACACCCTGTGACAGCAGCAATGTGTGTGTCCTTACAGGTATCATAAAAGCATAAATGTAAATAACATTTTTTGGGTAAGCGCACATATCCGATCGATAAACAAATCTCAAAGATAACATCAGCTAAGTTTGCTCGTGTTTATTCGTATTAGCATGCGAAGGCGCCCGCCACTTTCTTGTTTGTTTGGTCATACTTTTACACCAAGCAACGACGACACATACCATTAGCTACCAGGCTAGTTTTTCAACATCAGCTAGCTTCCGGAGATCACTCAAACAGCAGCACCTGTGCGTGCAGCTTCATCGGAGTACAGCGTTACTATTTCTGAAAGACTGGCTGATGTCACCTGTAACTGATTTGACAACACAATCCTCTAAACAAGACTTCTGTTCAAATAAGATTAACTCAAGTCCTGAACTGCCAGCAGGCTAACTTCGCTAATGCTAACCTTATGTTGACTGCTCAGCTGTCACAAGCCTGGCTGTTGATGGATAAGCCAGCTAGCTACGCTTAAAGAAGGCAGCCAACCGGGTTCATAATAAAACTTACAAAGTGTTAAGAGTCTCCCCCGCGCTGAGATCCATAGCTGACTCCCGAGCAGAGCAGTGATGATTCTGGAATAATGAGGCGATGTTTACCAATGTTTTCGTTTCGGCAAAATAACTTGTAGTTTCGCATTCCAGCGTCAGGCCCCTGCCCCTGAACTGCACAGCAGTTATTTCATCGCGAGAATGTCAGAATTTCCCGGAAGAGGGGGACCAAAGTTGTCAACAGTCAGTGCGCATGCTTGCAAGGAGACCCACCATCAGAACTTTATTCAGTGTTTTTTATTTTATTTTTGGTAGGCTTACATTGTTAGCTGTGGAAGCCCATTTCCGCCACCCTGATAAAAAAAATAAATAAAACTTGCATCTCATAATTATGACTTAGCTATCTCATTAGTATGAGATAGTATCTCATAATTATGAGATAGCTAAGTCATAATTATGAGATAGCTAAGTCATAATTATGAGATACAAGTTTTATTTTTTATCAGGGTGGCAGAAATGGGCTTCCACAGTTACTCCAACAAAACTTATTTGTGAATATTATATAATTCAATAAGCTAGGCCTATCTGAACTATTCATCAACTCTTAGCCATTTTAATCATATGTTCACATTTCCCAATGTGAAAAGTGAGGAAAAAATATTTCAGAAAGAGTTCAACCCTCTGATCTTTTCTTTTTCAAGATAAATAATGAGGCATAATTTGTCACGTAACACATGTATTGAAAATCRCAATGCAAAAATGGATAAACATCTGTAATTATATAAAAGGATCAAATGCAACTTTAATACAAATCATGTAAGTAAATGTTTTCTAACATTTGTGATATACTGTGTGAATTTTATGTGAATTGTAGATTTTGGTGTATTGGTTTCACAGTGTTTGAAAATTAATAGCTTTTACGCTACATAATTTAAAACATAGCTTTTCACATGTTTTCAACTAAAAATGTCTATAATAGTTTGGGATTAATGAACAGTGTCATGTTAACCATCTTATAAACAAGCCAGTGATGGAGAATCATGTAAAATTAAATAGTAGTGCATTTTCTTTTTGGATATAACTAACAAAAGTAAAACTTTTTACATGATGCAAAATATTTTTTTTGCATAGGATGTTTAAACTTTTGTGTTTTTTATATGATTTTGATAACCAGTTTATTCAGCCTTTTTTTGCCTGCTCTGTTTGCAGCCAGCACCTGCTCAGTGGTAGAGTTCCTTTTTCTACTCATGACAGCTGAGAACTCAGAATTGCAAGTAGGAAATTATGACACCCTCTCCTGTTGCTCAAGAAAGAAACCACAGAAACATTGGTGGCCAAATAAAGCTGTATTTTTGAACCTTCAGACATTCACAAGAGGCACCATAGTTTGAGTTCTGACATAATCTGACATAAGCTTAGAGGCAACCTGTAGAAAATAAACTATTTGTTTTTCATATAACATCACAAACACTGATTTACTTTTAAACCTAATGGAAGGTTTGACCTGACTTTCGAGTAGCAGTATTTTCAGAATTTGCATATAACCGAGGAAGAGGTAGAAGCATTAAAAAGGATATTTTTGTCACAGATATTCTGGTTTGAACACACAGGACCTCAGCACAATTAGCTGTGAAATTGTGGTATGGAAGCCCATTTCTGCCAATCTGAAGAAAAAAGTTATGCAAAACTATCTCAAAATTATGACAGAGGCTACACTCACACTGCAGTAAAATGTTACCAAAATCCAATTTTTTAGCCTCTGTGTGACTCATACCGGAGTTTTTCCTGACAGTTGGAACAAAACACCTACATTTTTTTAATCCAACCCAGGCCTTTTCAGAATGCGGTACTAAATCGGATACATACATATCTGATGTTTTTCAAAGCGACTTCATTCTGAACAGTCATGTCGTATTTCCTCCAACTTGCATTTCAGCAAAGTGGGCTGACCAGAGGATGGTTAAAATGTAAACAGTGAACTAAACAGACATATCAGATAATTTAGTTGGCTCTGATTGCACAACAACTTCAGAATCAAAAGGCTAACATGTAGCATCCATAGGCTACTCCTGTAAACAGCCAGCTGAATGTGACGTCACATCATTTTCTGCACATGCAGCTTACATCAATGTTGTGAGAGGTTCACAGGGCAGTCTGATGGCTGGAGTCTGACAGAGGTCCCATATAAAATAGAATGTAAATATCCACGATAAAAAAAATCTGATTTTTGCAAAAAATCAGAACTGAGCATTATGATTCACAGTGTGAACATACCCTTAGAGTCATAACACACATGACAGCTTTTCATAATTATGAGATAATAAAGTCATAAATACAAGGTGCTTAGAAAACATTATGAGATGCTTGAAACTTGAAGATTTTTTTTACTCAAAGTGGCATAAATGGGTTTCCTTAATTCAGCAAATCAGGCTTGAAGTCTTCCTTTTGTGTTGTTTTGTTAAATACATTGTAGCGATAACAACTGCAGTAAGACAAGAACAGTTGCTCTGACTACTTGATGTGTACTGATTTCAAAATGCCACACAGACACTTTACTGTGAGCTTAAAGCTCAAATACCATTAGAATGACAAGAGACAATGTCACTGTAGCATTACGGGTGTTTTATTGCCAGAACTTGCAACTTTTTGTGTTTCTATGTAGGCCTACAAACAATCTAATAAAATACAAATATAATAATCTGGTAAGTTTATAATTTGCATGTTTAGGGTTAGTTGTTCAAATAATGGGAATATCTCTTGCATGATTTGTTGATAATCAGTGTGATGAGATTTGCTGATTTGGTAATGAGGTTCAATATTTGTATTTTCTATAAAGATGTGGAGAGGCAGAGGTTTGATCTGCAGCCAGTCTACTGACACCTCAGCAGGGGTGAGGGCTGTACCACTATAGATATATTCAGAGGGGGGTGGTCAGGGCTGTGATGGAGCAGCTGAAGCTCAGTCTGACTCAGGTTAGCTGTCCTTCCTGTGGTGATTAGTTGCCACAGCTGTGGTACTATTTATAAGGCTGTGTCCTTGTTGTCTCTGAAGCCCTGAAACACCCAGAAGGGGGCAGACGCCTCAGCATTCAGAGTTAAAAAAAATCTGACCAAATGCATTAATTTGCACAAAGGTAGAAATAAAACAAATAAAAAATTCTGAACTTTTAGCATATAAGGGTTTTTACGTTTAACAACAAAGAACAGTGCACATGAAGAATGGCACACAACAAATGAGCTTTGTGGTTGCTTTGAGGATGAGCTTGAATTACATTAGCGGACTGATCCATGTTAAAGTTTTCATCCTCTCTATTTTTGCTTTAAACTTTTATTAAATTTTCTGAACCTCGAGTCTTGATGTATGGACTTAAATATATTCATGCTCTTTCATTTGAGGGACATCATTATTTTTCAACTTCTTTCTTCTCCGATGACAGTGAGTTTCAGGTTGCACTTCTGGGTGTCAGCTCAAGCTTTGACCCCTCTACTGGGGGTTTCCCAAAACCTTAACTCCTCTTGCTGGACACTGTTGAAATTTGGTAGCTTTTACCATTTTATTGGACTGTAACATTTATGATAGTCTTTCTAATGCTGCTTTAAGGACAGTGAACTGTGTGGCATGTCCCAAAAGGTGTCTGTAACATTCCCAGAATATGTGACTTTTCTGCCAGTTTGCTCAGTGAGTCAGCAGGTATACGTTAGAGCGATTGGATCAGACACAGTTTCACAGAACAGTTTCTATTTACACTCATGTACAGTGACATAGGCAGTTTCTTATTCTCCTTCAAATGATGCAGTATGCTGAAAGCGTGCGTATGACCTCTGATGTCTGAAATATGAGATGCTCTAGTTTCTTATGGCACGTGATCACATTGAAAGCCTGGTTTTGTGTTTCAAACCAAGGAGATTTTAGTCTGTTAGTTTTGACCAGAAAGTCCTGTGTGTGGACAAAGGCACCAGTACATTAGCCGGGGTGTAATCAGCCACAACAAAGTGAAAGCTGGTGTCCCTCTCAACTGATAAGTCAGGAATCCAACAAGGAGATAACAATATCTGTCTTTTTATAGAATTCTGTTCACACCAAACTCAAGTGCCCAAGTTTCAAAGTTCAGCCGTTCATACATTTCACAAATAAATAACAAGCAAGACTTTGCTAAAACCCTTGAGAAAAACAAAATCCTTTAAAACTGCAACAAAGCAAGTAGGAATGCAATAACAGATAACTTGGTGCTGGTTTTGCTATCATGTTAGAAAAAGAAAAAGACTAATATAACTATTTTTTGTGACTTATGACCTGAACAGGCCTCGGTGCACATGCGCGCTGAGGGCAACAGCTGAACAGTCCTGCAGGCACGCGCGGCATGAAAGTAACAGTACTTTTATGGGAACAACTCACCGACCCCCCCAACCAACAAACCAACGGTCAGTCGAAAGCAGCTAGTGGACGCTTATCACCGACTGTATTCACTGCTCTGAGTTTGACTTCTAAGAGTGTTTTCACTCCTCAGAGGGACTTTTAAACCCAAACTGGAAGCACGCTAAAAAGGTAAAGTATTTTTTTACATCACATTACAGCCTAAGCTGATAATTAGCATGAATAAGCTAGTAGCTAACAGTGTAAAAAGGTAGGTTTATTCTTTTCTTTGTTTAACCAGTTGGTATTAAGTTTGTTGTTACACTTTGTCACATTTTTTAAGCAACGTTATGTCGATAAAAAATTAACTAAGGCAGGGTTTTTTAAGCTATAAATTTTCCACTTTTCTTGTTTGGGTATTGTTACAATTAAACCATTTCATGTCTCAGTCAAGTTATAAACCAGATTTACTCTGTTTATAGATATATTAAATATTTAAAATCTGGTTATAGTTGTTTTCTAGCTTTTTCCATGTCAGAAGATGAATAAAATCAGGTTAACCATTGGGTATTGTTACAATTAAACCATTTCATGTCTCAGTCAAGTTATAAACCAGATTTACTCTGTTTATACATATATTAAATATTTAAAATCTGGTTATAGTTGTTTTCTAGCTTTTTCCATGTCAGAAGATGAATAAAATCAGGTTAACCRTTTAACTTCATAATACAATCTCTAATAATAAAAATAAAACCAGATTTATGGTGTGTGGTTGTGATGGGGATAATTTTATTTTATTTTGATTCAGATGATTGTTGCTTCAGCAAACACACTTGTCACAGATTTGTTTTAGGAAAATGACAGGCGCTCCCATATTTGACAGTCTGTGCTGTCTGTCTTCTGCGGTTCATCTCTGTTTAATGAGACTGAAAGTGGCAACACAGCTTGAACAAGCAACTTATCTTTGATATTTGTGTGACCGATGCTAGGTGCTGTTATCCTGCTTTCCAAAACTCAATCAATCCAAAACAATTCAGCTTGATGAGAACACAMGTTTATTGTAATAACATTAGACTGCAGCACACAGCTGTTTGGCAGACTTTGGAGTTTCAGCTGCTGGATATTGGACACACCTGAGACAACTGCAGCCACACGTCAGTATGTTGACAGTAGTTACACAATGAAATACCTAATGATTAGCAGCATTGTGTCACTATATGATAATCACACCTGAATAGTGAAAGTACTCATGGAAGCTGACAAACAGCAACTTTTTCCCAGTGTGGGCTTACGAACAGTTCATACAGCTCTCTTTCACTTTGCTCTTAGCCCCCTGGCCATTTTGTCAAGGGTCTGTAGAGGCGACATGTGGGTGCCAGCTTGATCTTTGTCCAACTGCCTTCCACTCATCAGAAATAGCTATGATCACATGTTCTAGACTCCTAAGTGGGCTATAAATAGGGGTCAGCAAGCTTCCATTGCACACTTTCCTGACATAATGAGAAGCCAAACTGCTCTTTTTCCTCTTTGACTTTGAGGTCAACAAGTCCGTTTTGCTTTGTAAATTGTATTATTTTAGGAATATAGAGTTGCTGTGAACAGGAAGCGACATTCTTTGAAATTGTCATAGAAAACTAGATACCGCATAGCGGTAATATAATGAACCCCGCATGCACAAATGCACCAGAACTTAGAAGTCATTATTCCTAATAAGTGTCATGCTACTAGGTGCATCCCAAAATTGCAGTGGTTTGGGTGGGGGT